GGTTCCATTGTACTATCTGCTTTGGCTTTGAATACTTGGACTTCAGTGTGATATTGCATTCTGGATTTCTGTGCTTCGTCCATACTCATGTTCCTTGCATTAGTCTATATTACTCATTAAATTTATTGTTATTTATTAATATTATTTTTAGTAATTATTATAATTATTATTTATTCTTTTATTATTATTATATTGTTTATTATATTATTAGAGAGTAATTCTAGCATTTTTAATTTGTAATTGTGTATCAGGTTTTAAGAGAGTGAGTGTGTGTGTGTGTGTGTGTGTGTGTGTGTGCGTGTATGTGTGTGTGCCGGGGGGAGGGTTGGGAGCACCTCCCCCACCAATCAATCAATCAATCAATCAATCAGTCAATCAATCAACCAATCAATCAATGAATCAATGAATAAATGAATGAATGAATGAATGAATCAATCAATCAAAAAACAATCAAGCAATCAATATGTTTTTTTTTCTTTTTTTTTTCACACACAAAAAACGACCCCCCCGAATTTTTTTTTTTTAAATTTTTTCTTGGTACGAGGGGGTAGGGTCGGGGTCCTGGTACCCCAATCCGAAACCCCCACCCCCAACCCCCTCTCCCCTCGGCCGTGGCGGGTCGCGGTAGACCGCGGTCGCCGCGGTCATAACCGCGGCCTCGCGGCCACGGCCGCGGGCTGCGATTGTGCCCGCGGTGACCGCGGCCGCGGGTGTTTTGTAGTCGCTCAGAACCCCGTGCATCTCGTTCCTCCTCCTTCCGAAGTTCCCATCTTTGAAGAAGATGAAACCGATCCACATACCTGGTTGGCCACTTTAAACCACCACTACCTCTGTCACTCATGGGAAAAATGGGAAAACTAGCTGTTTTCCCATCTTTTCCGAACGTTTCGGGGGTTGGACGAGGCTCGGCAGTTGGTCCTTGTAGGCCCCTTCGAGAAACAAAAAGAAAAACAAAAGATCGTGTCGGGGAAGGCCGTGCACTAAGTTGTGCTCACACCAAAACTGACACGTTCGTACCTAACTGCTATAGTGGTCAGTTTCAGGTTTTCATTGTCTTTGTTTCTTGTTTTCTTTTCTTTTTTTAGTTTTGGTGCCCTGCCAGGGAGGCACGGCGTGGTCCACGGGCTGCTGACACTTTGTGGAGGAGGCCATGCCCACACTATTATTTCGCAGAATGTATGAACCCGCTTTCCCGGCCTTAGTCCAGTTTCAATTTTTTTTGTCCTTTTCCTTCATCCGTGGACCTGACACCCTTGCCGTAACGCCCTCACTGAGGGCATACTCACACAACGACTTCGGGCTACGTATCTACCTGGTATCACGTCCAGAGGGGTGTTTGTTTTTTTTCTTTTATTTTTCTGTGGCTTCGAGTGGGTCGTTTTTTGAAAGTCTGGCCATGCTTTTTTTTTTTTTTTTTCAGGAGAGTGCTAGAAAAGAACAAAACGGAACCTAGGCTCGACAAAACTCGGTGAGCAATAAAAATCAGGGTCGGCAAAAACAGGCTCGGAGGTAGTGGTGGTTTAAGGGCTCATGGCTGATCTGATCAGTTGGAACGTATCCCCGACGACTGTCGGGCACCACACTAACATGGTACAGACATAACCCTTACACTAATTGGCGGAGCTTCCAAGAAAGCTTCCTTTGAACACTTTGACCACATAGCCTCAGGGCAATGTCTACGCCTCATGAAGGAATACACGCAGCAGCCTCTAGAGACACTGGCCCGGTACACCGAATGGTATACCTACCTGGCCGAACGGTCGGGAGTTGATGAAAAGATGGCTCGGGTAGACTTCGTCCGGGGCCTTGCAGACCCCCAGTTGGGGAAGAAAATTTGCAAGAAGTGCAGGTCGATAGATCTATTAGATCATACACTGACGGAACTAATTAAGTACGCCATCGAATATGGGAAGGAGAACTATGATGCGGGCCTCGATTCTGAATCCGATGAGCATGACCCTGTCGGTGCCCGTTGCCAAGGCTTTACCGTGATGACCAAAATGTTGGATGATCACTTCGGGCCGGGCCCGGCTAAATGTGTCACTGACCGAAAATCGTCTTCTTCCTCCTGGGCGACTAAATGAACTAATGCAAGAGGCCTGCACTTGGGATCGGAGGTGCAATTCATTAAGGAGGACGCCACCCAGCTTGCTAATGTAGTCGCCCCATTGACGGATATTATCCAGGGGTGGCAGAAGCAAAGAGCTACTGCGGCCGCTAAGAGACAACAACAAGCGGCTATGGCTGCCGAAGCTGTCGCAGCTTCTCGGCTGGCCCCTGCTGCAGCTCAAGCGCAGCCCATGCGATGCTACAACTGCAATCAGTCCGGACATCTGGTCAAAGACTGTCCAGTTCCCCGGAACCAACACCGGAGTATCCCAGATTCTGTTTGTGGTGCCTGCAGCCACTAACCAAGGGAGAGAAGGTTAACGGAGACCCTAATTTTCAGACCACTTGCCATGCCATTTATATGAAAACCAAACGGTCATTTTAATCAAAATTGCCACCAATTCGTAGAGTGGAGACCATACTAACTAACTGCAAAACAAAAAAAAAAAACAAAAAAAAAAAAMAAAAAAAAAAAACATATAAAACAGCAAGGCAGAAGTGCATTTACCCAGGGCCTGAAAATGGGGGTCCCCGTTAACCATTTGTGCATATGACACCTGGGCTTGAGTACAAGGACGGTCAGATCGACGTCCTGGACACAATGAGAGCCTTGGACCTTCGGAAGTTCGGATCCTTGTGACCATTCCGTACCTTTTGACGATCTCTGAGGTGGCTAATGAAAAACTGATTGAGCGTTGTTTAAAGAACCGTTGACAGTTCGAGGTAGGCCAAGAAGGCAAGAAACCGGCGGCAGAGAGCCGACTGTCGGCACCAGACGAGCAACCCTCCACTTCACGTCCTCCTGAGGCGGCCCACATTAGGATGATCCAGGCCGCTGATCCACCAACGTAGAAGCCCGATGTATTTCTTTTCGCCCATCCGATTAGTGTGACTGTGAAGTGTGGGGACGTCTGTCGCCTGTTATTCTTGATTCGAGATGGTCGGCAGTGACACTTTCTTGGGGCTTAACAAAGCAATTAGGATGGGAGGGCCAGGTTCAGCCTCTTTGACCAGATGAGTTGTATGTGTATGCCACCTAGGACAGCATCCATTGCAAAGGGAGAGTTGTGAACGTACCCATACGGGTCAGTTGGGCTCACTGCCTATGTGATGCAA